ATATTTTCCGACATACTTTCCGACATAATTTGCTTTCATATTTAATTATATGATGAACAGAATATTACATGGTCGCTTTGAGATACGAATTTTATCTTCTTATGTGTTGAAAATCTCTCACTCGTTCGCTACGCTCACTCGTGAGAGATCTTTTCAACACTCGAAGATAAAATCCGTATCTCCGCGCGTCCATGTAATATCCTCTATTTATTTCATCAGTCAACAGTTATAGTCATAGGAGCAGGTGCCGCAGGACTCTCAGCAGCAAGACATCTTAGTAAATTTAATGTAAAGGTAAGAAAATATGGCATTTTTCTGAAGAGAAAACCAAGAAATAAAATTCGTCTACTTTGCAGTCCATTCTAGTCTTGGGCTTCCTGTGTGCTCAGATTTTGGTAAGGAAACAGGAAGCCATGACATAAAAAGATTGCTTGTCATTCATGATATTCGATACTCAGGTTTGATGACAGCAAATAAAGCATTGAACCAAGGTTGCAAGAGTACAACAACTTGTAYAGGGTTAAAAAATAGATCTTTGTTCATTGTACCTTGATGCCTTGCTTCAATGCTTTGTTCATGATCACTGAACCTCTGAGGCGGATCCAGGGGAGGTGCTTTTGGTGTGGACGCAACGTCCTTTTTGGACGACATCTTTTTTTATTTATCAGTATAAACGTTTTTTTCTGCTACAGGTTTATACTCTTGTTGTACTTTTATTGAGAAAACGAGTAGCATACACAACATGTGTCTGCCGCTATCAAAACCGGGAATCCTGTGGTGGAGGGAAAAGGTACACTCGCTGACAAAAAGCACCCCCCCCCCCCCACCTTACAAAATGCTTGATCCGCCCATGAACCTAACTATTGAAAGTTATAAAATAATGGTGTTTTCATATTGTTAGCAGGATATTTCAACTGTATAATGATTGAATATTGATTTCAGGTAACAATATTAGAAGCTAGGGATAGAATTGGTGGACGTGTCTGGGATGATAMAACCTTAGGATGTTGTGTTGGCAGAGGTGCTCAAATATTGAATGGCTGTATAAATARCCCCATATCTGTACTTCACACACAGGTATTTAATAAATATTAAGTAATATGCTTAAAATCAGGTCGATATTAAACAGTAATTATTATAATATATAATTAAATAATTTTATTACTTATATTACAAGGCACAAATTGTCATGCGGATATGATCAAATATCAATGTCAAATGTCAAGAATACAAATCATAAACAACATAAGGTAGACAAGAATCCTAACTGGTGAGGCAGCTAAACAGTTAGCTTCAGATTCATATTCTCGAGCATGCTTGTAAAATAGAAGCTAWATGACAAGCATGYCCAAGAATRCATGTATGAAACTGAACTCATTGAAATTGGGACAAATCCAGCCTCTGCGAGTGGCCAGACYGGGAATTGATCCTGGGACCAKCWGATTACGAGAGTCAATGCTCTAACAACTCACTATACAAYACATACATACAATACAATGTTTCAGTCCAAAATAAGAGAAAATTTAAAGTCTTTGATAATTATCAATTAATTTTCAAAATGTGAATTGATTGTTGGTATCATTCATCAGCTTGGACTAGATATGCGTCATGTAACTGGTCACTGCGATCTGTTTGATGGAGAAACAGGGAAACCAGCAGACATCAGCCTTGACAAGAAAGTGGAGTTTCATTTCAATGCTATCCTTGATGCCATAGCAGAATGGAGAAAGGACAAGTCATGCAAGAAAGATATTCCTCTTGAAGGTATAAGTTCGCACTAGATACACCTAGTTACAAAAATGTTGTCCTATAGAAATAGGACATTTGTACATATAAATTAAGTATAAAATAGAGAGGATATTACATGGGCACAAAGAGATACARCTTTATCTTTGAGTGTTGAAAAGATCTCAGAGAGATTTTCAACTAAGATGAGGAGATAAAATTTGTATCTTCAAGCAACCATGTACATGAAATATTCTGCTTATCATATACCAGTAATATTATATATGAAAGCAAATTATGTCACAAAATACCTTTTTTACTTCCAATATATAAAAACTTTTTGAAAG